GGCCGCTCGGGGGCTCGCTGGGCTCTGTGCCGCCTCCATCCGTCCCTGCAAGGCGCTGCCGGGGGCTCCTGCGCYCGCTGCGGCAGTGGGCACGGCCTCACCGGGCTGCCCAGGGGAGGGCTGTCCCGGGGCAGGGACGGACAGAGGCTTGGCGGGATAGGGCTGCCGGACAGTGTCAAACCAGCCCCAACCCACCCTGGCCGGGGCACGGGGCGGCCGTGAACCCGGATCAGTGCTCGGAGCACGAGGCCGAAGGGAATCGTCCCCCCAGAGCCGCACGCTGGCTGCCGAATTCCCGGTGCCGCCGTGTCCCCGCTGCGCCTGTCCCTCCTCCTAGCGGGGCCGGGGGGCTGCAATCTCCCCTCGCCCCTTCCCCGCGCCACCGCTCCGGCCGGGCGAGACCCCCCCGGTCCCAGCGTCTGCCTAAGTTCTGCTCTGGCGTCGCTCACGGTAGCCTGAGGGCCTGCAAGCACCGCCGCATCCGTCCGCATCCCCTTTCTGGGTGGCAACCCTGGCTCACGCTCTTGCTCATGGCGCGGGGGGCTCGCAGCTCCTGAGCCGCCTGCGGGTCTTCGGGCTCTGCAGCCCCGCGGGCGGCGGCCCTAGACCTGCTGGGTGAACGGAGCGGGCGTCAGCGCCGCGGGCGGGCGGCCGGCGCCGCTGCTCCGCGCGCCTCTCGCACCTGGGAGCTGCCGAGGTGACCTGGCGCGCCGCCCCCCGCCGCCGCCTCCTCCGTCCTCCCCGCGCCCGGAACGGGACTCACGCGCCAGCTTCTTGTGGCACTTGGCGGGCGGCTCGGGGGCGCCCGGCTCCCTCTCCGGCGGCACCGCCGCCGCCGGCTCTTTGGGGCCGAGGGCAGCCGCGGAGGAGGACAAGGAGGATGAGGAGGGTTTCCCTGGGGAAAGCTCTCTGGAGCTGCAGGATGGCGGCGCAGGCGACGCTTTGGGGGGCACTTTGACACCGTGCCCGTCCGCCTTGGGAAGGCTGGGAATCTTCTCCAGGTTCACCACGGGCACGAAGAGGCTGCGGAGGGAAGGGGCGAAGCTGAGCGGGTGCCGGGGGGCCGGGCCCCCCGCCGCGGCTGGGCTCGGGTGCTCACCAGAGGTTGTC